GGACATTGTGATCATTGATAAGAGGCAGAGGACAGTCATACTGATTGATGTGGCAATCCCAAATGATGGAAACATCAGGAAAAAAAGAACATGAGACACTGGAAAAATATCAAGGGCTCAGGGAAGAACTAGAAAGAGCTTGGAAACTGAAGGCATCAGTATTGCCCGTGGTCATTGGAGCACTGGGGACACCTACTCCCACACTGGAGAGGTGGCTCCAATAGATACCTGGAGAAACATCAGAGATCTCAGTACAGAAATGTGCTGCTCTAGGGACAACTAAGATACTGCTTCAAGCTCCCAGACCTCTGGTAGAAGACCCAAACTTTAGACAAAGAAGCCACCACATTGCCCAGGAGAATAAAAGGCAGGTGGGTGAGAGAGTAATGTCTTTGTTTTCCAATTTCACACATCTTCCTCTTTATCTATGAGTGAAATTTTCTGTGAAAAGTTCCTGAAATGCTTAAATCAGTATTTTAGAAACAAGCGTACAAGATTCAAGGTGACTTATATTCTTTTTATTTTCTTTATGTGGTATGCTTGTTATTTTCCATTCTGGGACTTGATTTGAAATTGTCTACAAGACATAGAACTAGTAAAGTTGCACGTCAATGTAAATCAATAGTCCCTCTGGGGACAATGGAGGGAGCCTAGACTAAGTTAATGGAACCACTACAAACCAAATCAGGCTGTAGATTGAATTGACATTCAGCAGGCAGCACATTTTATTACAATATATAATTCATTAAGGGTTGAAAAGATATGTTTAAATCCTGAAGCATGAAGAGTTTTTAAAATTAACATAGAAAAAATATGCATGACTAAGAGCACAACCACAGGATACTGTGAAGCTTTAGGGCAATATGCAAGCAAATGTTTTGTAGCTAATGTCTATTATTTGAGTCAAAATCATAAAGACAGATGCTTAACAGTGATTTTAATTACAATTACCGACTGGCCTGTTGTTTACAACAGGCCCCACCATGGATATTATACTCTCACCATTGGCAAAAAGCAAGCTATTAAAAATGTTGGACAAAATGTTAAAAGTGAAGAATGCTTGGAGGAAACCAGAGCATGCTGACAAGATGCATCACGTATTCACATCACACTGTGACCAATGAAATGTGTGGGCCTTTGCCTACACAGGCACAAGTCAGCTTTTAGGGACACTCTCAGTTTCTATAAAAACGTGATTCTATACAGTCTCACCATCCCTGTAACATACACAACCTGCCAATAAAAATAAACCTGTGCCTCGTCCAGGCTTGTGAGGACCGAAAAGTGTGAAACAACTTTGGTGAGAGAGGCCTATTCGTACAGTCCCTGACAAAGCAAACTAATGGTGCTTTGCTTCTGCCTCAAAAACCCAACATTTTAGTCCCCATATGTGTAAAATTTAAAGTATTGAAACCACTTTTGCTGCAAATAATCAGATAGCCTCTACCTGCCAATCATTATCAATTTTCTTTTACTGCAAACGTCTCATGCAGTCATGTTTGTTCTTACAGTGATGGAAGAAAAAGTTAAAAGGTCAAATCTGTAAATTAACTTCAAATTGACTTTACATATGACAATAATACCAAATAATCACCAATTTCCATTCAGAGAATAATAGCATAATGGTTGTAGCACTCAAACCGAAGTCGGCAGGAAGGAGTGTGAAAATGCTCTTGCTTGTGTGTATGTCAACTATAGAAATGGTTTTATATTTCCAGGCATGATTCAGAAATGCTGAGGTGTTGAATGAATCTAAAGCCCATTTATAGCCCAACACCAATCCTGTAAAGAACTGATACCAGTTTTTTTTTTTTTAAACCCTACAAAAAGAGGACGAAATATTTATTTTTAACCATCTGACCATAAACATTACTCAACATTTCCTGTTTTAGTCTAGAAAAACAAAATGTTTCTAGTTGCTGAAATAATCAAATGTTCTTTAGTTACTCTCTTGGTTTCCCAAACCTTCAAACACTATATGAAAGATGGTGGTGTGGCTTTGAAAGCTTCTAGCAGGTCGATTTAAAAAATCTGATTTACAGTAGTAGTCGTTCAAAATTTCTTTCTTGGCTGGTCCCTTAAAATTCTTTTTTAAACATCAATACTAAACATCATACTAAAATATTCTTTCTGTCATGATTTGTAGACATTAAGATCTAAAGAGAAGCGTCATCTCCCTGTAGTTCAATGAAAGGGTGGAGTCAGAGTAAAAAATATGCACGCCCAGGAAAAGGAGGGGGTCACTCTAGTGGGTGGAAGTTGGAAGGAATTGGGCTGCCATTTGGCTGCCGTTTGACTGGGAAGGGCCATTTTGAATGGCTGCTAATGTGATTGCAGGCATAACTGTGAGGCATGCAGGCATATATTCTAAGGCTCCACCAATCACACTGCATTCTTTGGTTTCTAGATGGTGAAAGTACAACAGTAATCTGCAGCATGGAACAGTCCTATTATCTTATTCAAGAAGAAGACTGGTTCTTTGTCATCGAGACGCATTTTGGTGCAAAATATCTGCATCAAACCCAGAAAAAAAGGCAAAAATTGTCAAGGTATTGATAGAAGCTGGTAAGACAGTGTTGTTATTCACCTTGGGGAGTTATGTTTAACGTGACGAACACCAACTCTAAGGAAGAAGCTGTTACTTCAGAGCAACATAAAAAAATGAAATTTCTTATTTGCAAAGGGAATCTGGAAGAAATACCTTAATGTTAAAAGGTATATATGTATAATGATTGACGCCTTTGTTTTCCTGTTTAGACTACTGTAACAGTCTATTCTCATGTCTTCAGCAGGTTCAGAACTCAGCAGCGAGGTTACCGACTCGTACAACAAGAAGGGGTCATAGTACGCTGATTCTAAAAACTCTTCATCGACTCCCAGTCTCTTTTCAGTTCCAGTTTAAACTCCTGGTGCTGACCTTCAGAGCCTTTCACAGTCAGGCTCCCTCCTACATTAGAGACTTCTTGTGTCCATATACCACCTCTTGGAGGCTGTGGTCTCAGGACCAGAACCTGCTCATGGTCTCTCGTACTCATTCCCAGACCAGGGAAGATCGCACCTTTCAGGCATTCTTGAACTTGCATTTACTTGATTCTGTTGATGTTTTTAAGAGTGAACTGAAAAACCTATTTGTTTAAGAAAGCATTTTAATTCCAGTAGATTAAGGGTTGTTTGATGACCATTTCTTTGTGACTGTAAATATATTTTATTTGAATTTTGATTTTGTGAAGCACTTTGACCTCTATGTCTGTGAAAGATGCTGTATAATTAAACATTACTTACTTATTATATCCTAGGGTTTGTCTAATCAGAAATTGAAATGTTCAGCTTTAGTTACTGTTACTGTAATAATTATGTGGGACATTAACAAGATTAAACTCAAGTCAAAAAGCTTAGAAATCTTTGACACATACTAAGAGAATTTATGTGAACTTCAAAATAAGTTAAAAGTAAATAAATATACAGAAATACAGAAATGATTTTGTAAACCTAAAGCAAGAAAGGTTTAATCTGAGACGCAGACAAATATCTGGGTTTCCCTTCGACGTAGATGCATCACCTTTATATCTGCAGTCAACTTTTAATTAGGCAGAAAAAAAAAGTCAATTTTCATTCTGGATGAAGTCAAACATCTCGACGGTTGAAACTGTGTAGTTCAAACTAGATGTTAAATGTTCAAAAAATATCCACTGGACTTGGTTTCCAAGATTTGAAGACGTTTCGCTTCCCCTCCAGGAAGCTTTCTCAGTTCAAATGTCTGGATCCGCAGTGATTTTGAGTCTTTATACAGACAAAGCCTTGTATTGCTTGGAAACATGCAAATTGAAACCGACGAGTTGGTCGTTTGGTTCCATTGTCTCCTGTAATACCTGAAACCTGTCTATGATTGTTAAGGGTCGGTCGTTAAGGAGGTATTGTTCACCGGCTGGAGCGGGTAGGTGCTTTTCTGTGATGGGGTGGGGTGATATCTGGAAGGGATCATCTAACTGAATTGTAAGTTTTGGAAGTTGGAATCTGAGGCCCCGTCCACACGAAGTCAAAACGAACACGAAACGCTAATATTTTCCAGAACGTTTGTCGTAAAGACGGAGACGTAAAATAAATGTGATCGTCCACACGAATACATGAAAACGCTGCAAAATGTATGCCAGGCCTGTAAGTGGCGCTGTCGTGCCAAAGCAAAAATAGGCGACGAAATGTTGGGCATGCACACTAATATTTATACATGGTTGCCCTGCGGGTCCATTTTCGTGGTTAAGTCAAATTCAGGTGCTGAACTATGTAGTCGATATTGCTCTGTTCTTCCTGGAGATATTCCAGAAGAAGAAGATTCTGTTGTAAGCCCGACAGCAGGGTGAGTAGCATGAGCAGCAACCATTCAACACAGTACGGCGCCATTGTTGTTGTGATACTGTGTCGCGCATGCGTGTTTAGAGGCGACGCTATGACGCATGCGTGTAAAAAAAAAATGCGGTTAGAGCGTTCTAGCTTGCAAAGTTGTTTTCTAAGTGTTTTTTTAATAAAAGAAAAATTTTGCACTATTATGCCCATATTAAACCAAACACTTGAGGTTAGTATTTAGCCAATAACCAATGAACTTACAGCTAGCTCTGTATTAAAATAGTACATGTAAATTCCTTAATTTAAGTAAAATCTAACACATTTTAGGAGTTGGTTTAATGTAATCCATTTCATGAACCTCTAAGTGGCACTTTAAGATTAGGCCACTCCCATCAGGTTAACAAGTATGCATGCTAATACCAGGTGTAAAGTTTAGACCATGTCGTTCAAACTGTTATTTACTTCCAAACCCAGAATGGGTGAAATAAACCATTTTCACCTTTTTAGTCTGTTTCTACTTTTTATCAGCTGCACTTTGTTTTAATTAAAAAAAGTAATAAAATATTGATGTGTATGTATTTTTAAATGCATAACTGCGGTTCCTTGATTAAATCAACAAAGAGAGAGGTATAAAAAACAACCAGGTATAAAATTCCATCACCATTTATTTCTTAAGGGTGCAAAATTAAATCTGAACCAGTCACTTAAAGTCCCATGTTTTCACTTAAAACACGTTTCAGTACAAAGCCAACTTTGCTGATAAGGTGTGAAAGCACTTCTGGATTGCACTGTTATTATGCAATAAGCTCCTCATACACACTGTGAGTGAGATACAAAGGTGTAAAGAGCGTGGGTGAAAAAAACAACAAAACAAACAAAATTACATGTGGCTTTTGTTTTTCATGGCAGGACTTGATGTGTCTGAAGCTGAAAACACAAATTATTTTTATGACTTGTGGTGTGTGAGAGGGCGTATCTTGGAAGAGCACTGTGCAAAGGTTTTAAACCCACCCCTAATTTCTCTATGTTATAAGAACATGATAAAAAAAAAGAAATGAGCTTCAGAAAGCCTTCAGAGAAAAATATAAAGATATAGGAGGTGGTTTAAATGCTAGGCACAGGACTTAATATCCATGCTTTGAGAACATCAAAAAGTGACCATTCACATGCTGTCTAATGAGGAACCTGTCTGTGTGTTCGCCCTCTACAACGTCTTTCTGTGTGTGTGTGTGAACATTTGTGGACTCCCATGCACTTTCTCATAAGCAACACAAACAATGCAGGCACTGAAACAGAGAGCTGAGAGTAACAGAGCCATGGCTTGTTCCCAACAGGCTCGTGGTCACCTTAGTGAGGCGCTGTCACTGATTCAGACATTGTTGCTGCTTTAACAATCAACTGATTAGCAAAATTAAAGCCCGTTTTTCTTTTGCAAGTCCTTCCGTTGAAGCATTTGTTACTTTTTTTTGTTTATTATTAATGCAATGTAAAGTTTATTGCAAACTTGGTGAGCAGAAGGGAGGCCGAGGCGGGGTTTGCGGTGTCGGGAGGAGGTGGAGGGAAGGGGGAAAAGTCAAAGAGCCCGCTGCTGTTTCACATGTGGAGGAGTCGGCCAGATAAGCGGAGGCTAGGTAGAGCAGTTTGGTTGGTTGGCGCACGGCTGAGGTGGGTTGCTGATGCATCTATCATCTGGCGTAGTGCTTGATGTAATCCTGAACCTTATTTCGAAAATCCTCCTGAGTGGAAAAGAGGGAAAGGCAAACAAGAGAGGTAAAGATAAGAGGACTGAACACAACTGAGTGAAAGTGGCAGAAAAATACGGTTAGCAATTTCGTTCTTAGGCAAGTCTAAATGAGAATGTCTAAAAAGTTTAGCCATTTCTTATTGCATCAGTTTGGTTAGTAACATCACTCACCTCAGTCTTTCTTATTGAGATTTTATGTGATTTACCATCAAAGTTTGTAAGTGGAAGAAAATTACCACTGGTTGTTAAATATGCTGAAAAAATGAGGCATTAGCAAACCATTTTGTGTAATATGTAATGTGCCGAAAAAATATTTTCCAAGATCATGTTTCATTTTTTTCTTTTTTACATTTTCTTAAAGCATATCAAATATTTTTGCCAGGCACTGTTTATAGTAACACACAAACAGTGAGCGACGAGATACAGTCCCAGGGTGAGGAGGGGTGATGTGACTCATGATGAAGTCACAAATTAGTCATATATATGTATAAAAATATCCACCATATGCCACTATACATTTTTAGTGAGTCATGTTACTTCTCTGGGAAGACACTGAGACTTTTCAGGGAAAAAAACTCAACAAAAATTTGTTTTCAGATTGTAGGATTTCTTTCAAAAAGCAAATTTTAAAACAGCTCACTTAGTGTACATGACACTTTTCTCCTGTAGTACATCAAAAATGCATTAGTTCTGGTTGAATCTCATTATTTTCTCTACATTTTCCAAAATTAGAAACTATGTTGTTCTTGAATCTGAATTGATTACTTTTAAGGCATTTGTTTGTTTTGTTGGCTTAAATACGTACTGCCAACGGGATAAAATTACATATTTATGACCCTATTGCCATCAAGGGATTCTAAAGAACTAAACTAAGCAATCCCAGGAGAAAACATGGTTGGTTTTTTCCCAAAGTTTGCCTCTGTGTGTGTTCACTCTCAGACTACAAACGCTGGACTGAATAAGAAAGTCTGGTGTGTCAAGTTGAAGAACATATTACTTTGACCAAACAAAGTAATTGCTAAAGATAGTAAGATTTGTAAGTTGTAAAGTTTGCACACCTTTAATATATAGAGAATATATCTTTTGACTTGCTGTCAGGTTAAAAGTTGAAGGACACTGCAGCACCCTCGCTGAGCATCACTATCAATTACAGTCAGTGAACGGTTACTGAACTTTATCGGCTCACTTCAAAGAGTTCTGAATTACACAGATTCACTGTGAACAGTTATATATTAGAAGTTTCAACTTCTATCAGTTTTAATCGTGGCTTAAAGCTTATAATAACCCCAAGTTATGTTTCACAAAAAATTAGGATGATACTTTAGACATTTGAAAATGTACATTTCCTTTTAATATAGAAATTATTGAATGCCCGACACAATAACTGGGAAGATCACTAGCAGCCACCAACACCCTTCACAATAGGTGCAAGACACAAGAAGTTATTGTTAAAGAAGTCAACTCTTCTTTGGTGGTAAAAAGCAGACTGAAAAAACAGGGCTAACTGCAGCCTTATGAGGGTGAACGAAATCTTCTTCAAGAGGAAACATCTTTTGGAAGATTAACAATGTGTGGACGGACATTCTTTGAAAACCACCGTGAGGAGAGGCATCCAGGACTTGGTTTATCTCTATCCCATTCCTTTAGTGATGTCCCATCTGAACCACACACACATTTAGCATTTTCTTTTGGAATTTAAGGCCCGAGAGTCTAAAAACAAGAAGAGGAGCCGAGTTCAGGATGCCTGACCTTAACCCGACAGAGAATGTGTGGAGAAATGCCAAAGAAAGACAAAAACACAGAACCAAGAATGCAGATGTACTGAAGGCCCCTATCAAAGCAGTCTGGACTTCCTTACAATCCACAGAGTGATTAACCCCACGCTATACAACACTGATGCAAGAACTCAAACTAAAGAACCGTAAATCATGTGTTTAGTGCATATACGATCAAAAGATTACAAAAGATCCTCGTCTCTGGATATCTTTTTTAATATGTTTGTTCAATATTTACATTTTCTGAGAAACTTTATTATGTGTTTAATTAGCTGTAAGCCATAATCATCAACATAAACAAAATAAAAAAACACTTAATTACCTCACTTTGTTTAATAGTAACTGGCCAAGCAAGCTCAGCAGAAATCCCAAAGTTTTTTCAGTCTTAAAGAAAAGCCAAACTAGGCAGTTAGAAAACCAATTACACTTATGCAACATCCGATTATTACCTAACCTTATCAGAGTTTATTAAAATCCATTTTCTCATTGTATTTCTGCTGTTCAGGAGAAGCATGATTAATAATCTGAATTTATAGCCCAGCCTTTATACTTGGGTATATATATATATATATATATATATATATATATATACCCACAAAAAAAAGGCCAACATTAATGAAATAATTCTCCTTCTTAATGTTTCATCTTCTTTATCGACACAAAGTTTATCCATTTGACCTACCAGTTAAATTTTCTGGAGGGAGATTTTTGCCGACCCTTTGCTGCTTATCTCTAGTCACACCACAGCTTGTTGTGTTTTCTGGATACTTCATTGGCTTTAGTTTCTTGTCTCTACCTTCCCTTCAACCAAATATTTGGAGAACCTTAGTGAGAATGCTTTACAGTCCGCACGTACGTCATCATGGATTGGGATCAAAGGGAGCACCAGGCATCCTTAATTTGAATTAGAGCAGCTCCCATGTTAAGTGTGGCCTTTTATGGAGAATATATAAGGGCCAACAAAGCCAAGCTAAACAGTTTGTTAGGCTGAAGGAAAAAACTGCACTAATCAACACTATCAAAGCATATTTTAGAGAGGTTACATGGCTTCAGTTGCAGCCATGACACTATTACCACGTAAATAGTGGTATTATTTCCAAATGATAAATTTTCTCTACTCATAATAAATCTTAATAAATACATTTTAAGTAAGCTTTTCTGTCAAATTCAACAATATTTCTGTGCCCTTTTCTCAGATCCACAGAGATAATCATGTCACAAGGAAAGTGGAGTTCACTACATCAGGTGAGAATGGTTCTAATGCTACGTATCTTTAAAACGGCTGTGGATTGTTCAAAGCTACCGTACTTGCATCGAATTCACAAAGGAGTTTTCTATTCAAACTTGTTCTCTCACCGACTAAACCACAGGATCTTTCTTTTATCAGTTCCTCCTTTCATAAATGAAAATATGTAATTCTAAATTCATTGCAGAAATTAAAATGCCCAACCTTACCCTAAGAATCATAACTAAATGTAAAGAATTGCTTTCATCCCTAGTTTGGTAAAGGAAATGAAGGAGATGAAAACACCCATATTTCCTACTTTTAGAAAAACCCTTCAACTTAAACCAAACGTCCAAAACTCTTTAGATGTGGGAGGAGATGATGCAGTTTGAAATAATTTCATTTATTTACATGTCTAATAAGCGCTCTCTGCATTATCAGTAACTTATCTTTTTCATCTGGGTGAAATTACCATTTGTCTTAAGGCAACATCCTCCCCCCCTCCATATAAAATGCAAAATAAAGTTTCCCAAAAGACTCAGATTTCTTCAGAGGCCTTCAGTGCCTGACTGTATAATGTGAAAATGCTGGAATAAAAACGATGCAACAGTGAGATACTGGGTTGGATGAGCAGCACCAAACCTTTGGAACTGCATATTATGTATTTCAGTATCAGCTAGCATATACGCCACCATCACCACAGTCAATTTCCCTCGTGAGTTTAAACTACAAATATCACAGTATGATAAAGAAGTTGTTACTGACTTTAAAATAAATGATATGTGTTTAATAAGCTTCACTGGAGGGGGGGCTGTTGTAGTTGAGTCAACTAAGGTTGAGAACAGAAACTATAGCTTCAAAGAAAGTGAGTTTTCTACATTATTTTTAGTAGACTGAGCCTTAGAACAGAGGCAATAATGAAGTGTCCCTCTCATTTAACATCAGGTCTTAACAGGCTCCCAATCTGTAATCCGGCCCTAAATGAACCCCTGCTTTTATTGTAAGATACAGGGAGTAGCTTTGCTTCGGTGTGACTTTGCTAACAGGCACACATGCTCCTATACTATTGCTTCTCTGTTTGCAGATTCTCCCTGCTGGGAAAAGTAGGTATAAAAAGAAGATACTACTTTAAAAATGTGCATGGTAGAAAAGTTATATCTGGCTGAGAATAAATCAGAAGACCCCTGCATTTACATTTACAACTTAAAATGACTAGAAGCAAACATAAATTGAAGAGATTAGGTAAACATGTTTAGACCATCATTACTCAGAATACTGCATGAGGTTTGCCCCTTTTAAACCCCAAATTTATATTTGTGTGTTCCTGACTGTTAAAGGGAAATTGGACACCATGGTGAGATCAAAAGAGCTGTTTGAGGTTTCAAAAAGAAGAGCGTAGTGGCTTATAATTCTGATAAAACATTTAAAAAGGTCTCACAGATTAAAAGCAAATATTCCACAGTGCAGAAAATAGTTGAGTACATTAATAAAAGAAAAAAACAAAACAAACAAACACTGACATGGCTGGATTTGACCATCCAGACTGGGTTATCTGAGAGCAGACTATAAGAACCATAAAATCTTATCACATTTAATTGAAAGGCTCTTGCTGGTGTTTGTAAATCAAGTGCCTAGTTGAAGAATCAAAAAGATCCAGCACAACTTAAAATTCCATGGGGGTGTATAATGGAAGAAACTTTTGCTATCCAAGAAAAAAAATGAAGGTCAGATTAAAGATTGTAATAGAGATGGTTGACAAAGACGAAAACTTTTGCAGGAAAGTTTTTCAAAAGATTACTCCAAAAATGCATTCTTTGAACAGCAGGGCATTAGACTTGCATGAGCTAAATAAGAGCATTCCAAGAAAAGAAGCTAATGCTAACCATAGAGCATAGAGGTGGAAGTGTTATGCTTCAGGATACTTTAATTCTTCTGAATCTGGACTCCATGAATTTTACCATGTATTAAAATGATGCTGGAGAAATATATGAG